CCCCAAAACCCCAAAACCCCAAAACCCCAAAACCCCAAAACCCCAAAACCCCAAAACCCCTAAGTAAAAAATATTTTAGAAACTTAAGTAATCAGATTCAAAATAAAATAAGTAATAAAGGGAAATAAATGGCATTTGAATGGTTTCCTTACATAAATGGAAAGAATTTGAACTATAGTGAATATTTGACTATTGTCGGTACATCAATTATGATTATAAACTATTTCTTTTGGTTCACCGTCCTAAGAGTATACAGATACTATCTAGTAAGATAAGAATTGAAGAAAAAAAAGATATTAATCAATAATCAATTATATGATTCCTTCGAAGATGGAGCTTCTGAAAAAGCATTATCTAGTAGACTGCCAAGATTCGGAGAACAAGAAAGCAAATACCATTAATTCACTCAAGAAGATTATGATGATTAAAATGAAGATAATTATAGCAAAGGAGGTAGAAATGATCTTAAAAGTCCCTTACTTAAAAATGATGGATTAAAAACATAAATCTAGCAGAGCAGCATGGTTAAAGTTTCAACAGACAAGCTAAGTGTTAGGAGTCAATCACATTTCAAATCATCTGGTAAAAGCTAAATATCGAAATCATAGAGATCGAGTATCCCTCAAGTGGAGATTGCTCTCGATAACTAGTCACTAGAGGAAGAACCTAATACCAATACTAGATTTGGATTACTTCACCAGATTTTACAATGGATTTGCACTATATCTTTTGCCTTTTTACTGATCCCTGTCCATGGTCTTGGATACAAGTCATAGTTCACAACTATATTAATTTTCGCTTTGCTCTTTACTCGAAGATACATTCAGCACATTTACATGAACTATAAATTTATCCTATATGACATAGAAATCCTTGATCTACCTACAACGAGGGACGGCAGAAGCACTACTTAGTATAGGAAAGGCATCACTTTTAACTTCCAAGTCGTAGAATCTCCTAGCGTGTCATATTTTAGATAAAAGGAGCTAGCAATTTAGAAAATGGGATTTTGCTAAAAATTTTAGAAAAAATGGGCAGATTATAAAAGTGTTATAATCTATTACTTTAAAATTAGGCCTTTGATATTTGGCTTTAAAATATTGATTATTGTTGGATCATCTATTTTGCTTGCTAGATCAACCTCTGATTTGTGTGTGCATAGATATTAATATCCAGACAGAGCTGGAGGGATGTCGTTCATTGGTGGAGTATAAATTTCATCTAGTGATTACAGAAAGACACTGTCTGATACATCTTGTAGTATTGGAAATATCTGCCATGTATATCTTACATTACCAATTGATTCAAGTTCAGGTATTTTGATTAATTTTCATATTTTGAGTGGTAGCTGTGAAAAAAATTAATGCTAAACAAAAATTTTACTCTTCAAAGATAATCAACTAATTCAGGTGAATACAGCAGATGAACTAGCTTATAATAATGAATATCTAGATGAAAATAGAAAAATTTACTAAACTAATTTGAATGGCCTTGAATCTGATTAAGAATATGAATTTCAAATAGAAATTAATAACTCAATATATAAGATTTAGAATAGAAAATATTAGTTTAAAACACTAGGTAGTAAAACCTCAAAACTACTCTATATTCTCGGCACTTAATCTCAAAATAAAAATCTGCTCGAATGCGCTGGAATAAAAAATGATGCCTCTTTGATAATTTTTAAGTAATTTCCTATGAATTAATATTATTAGTGGAAATTTGATTTAGGATTATGGCTTGCCTTAATGTTTTAGTCTCTGGGATTATTTCTTAGATGAGATGGATGCAATAATTAACTCTGATAAAGACAGCAATGAGTCATAATAACTTATTCCGATTTCAATTGTAGCAGCTAATTAATAGTTTGGCTATAACTAGAACTATATAGATTTAGAACCTATAAATGATGAAGAAATATAAGCAAATAGTTATTTAACATGGTTTACTCAAGGACAAAGTACTAACCAAGAAAGCCAGCTTAAGGATTTAAAGTAGGCTTATTCTACAAGTAAACTAAGTAATAATTTAATGATAATAAACGTTGATGATGGTTATATGACAAGCCTCGAGAAACAACTTGATTTTATAAGAAATGAGCTAGCAAAAGCGAAATCTAAGTATTACATAGTAAATCTTTTTTCATAGTACAAGGATACAGATTCTGAAAACATATTTATTACAGATTTAAGCCGATTTTACTAAATTAAATTGATAGTCTAAGCATTTAAGTATAATATTGCTGAATAAGAAAAGTTCCAATTGTACTCAGGCGGTTAAAAATTACTATTAGAAGAACAATAATCAGTTTTAGCAATTAAAATATAAAGTAAAAATGACAATGATCTATAAATTGATTTGATTGGTGGGGAAAAGCTTGAAGTTGTTAGATCAATTATCATTTGATTATAAGTTTTATTATTCTTAGAGCAATTTTAATACTCTCATAATGGGGTTTTGGGGTTTTGGGGTTTTGGGG